AACATTTGGACCGTTATTGGCATCCATCTTTAAAATGGATGCTTTAAACTTTTTGGACCACATATGTAGAAATGCGATTCAGCCCTCATGAAACAATTTTCCTTTGTCTGACAGCTATACGCATAATTTCAACATTAAATAAAGAATTATATACAATGAGACCATTTACTTTTGGTGCGAGGACGTTACAATTACTTGCAACCATCTGATGTGAAATCTAATAGCTTAGATGTGTCACAAAGTTCGAAAAAAATTCTTTTGAACTTTGAGCTTGATCAATGAAAAAAATACAGTGACCTAATTTTACATCCAATGATCAAGATTAAGTATGACCACCTTGTATCAAAAGTAAATAGTCTCATTATATACTTTCCCTTAAATAAATATATCTAAAACCCTTTTTTTTATTATTATTCGTATAATGTTGAAATTTTATCTTCATTGGACAGGCAACAACATGTCATCAACAAAAAATGTCGTGGATGGTTAAATAGACCTACTCATTCCATATTCTCAAAAAACTGTTCACCAAATAGATTACAAACATAAGAAAATGATCACACTTGTTTTCAGAAAGCCCTATTTCCTATGAAAGTATTTTCACTCAGAACCAAATGTAGACATCCCTTGTCCATAAGGGAGGTCCATGAGGGAGGTGAAGGGAGTGTAGGAAACCACGACTTGGGCATGGTTCCCGTTGCCTGAGCAACTGGGACTGGATAAGGCAAGTACCAACCAGGCTAAAAATCGTTAAAAAGCAATAAAAAAATTCTCAAAATATAAAAATATGTTTGAAATAAAATTATACAAATCACATCTAAAGGAGGTTAAAAAAGTAGTGAAAAAATAGATTTTCAAAAATCAATTTGTAACTGAGAATATTTTAAAAATAATTCAAAAAAAAGGAAAAAAAATGTTAAAAAGAGCATTCATGGCCAAAATACTTTCCCATCTTTATCAAGATGACAGAAAACATAATAATAATAATAATAAAACATTACAAATAAATTTTTATTTTTAACAATTTTTTATTTATTATTTTCTTTTTAAAATCCTAAGCGGGTTGACTCGGCACATGCCCGAGTGCATGCAGAGAGAAAGAGAGAGCACTCAAAAAAGCATGTTCTTTATTCATTTCAGCACTATACATAAGCCAGAGATCATTTACTAAAAAGCTTTTAGTTCACCTCAGCCCTAGACGGGAGAGGGGGAGAGGGACCACTCAATAAAACATGTTATTATTCACCTCAGCACTATACATGAGACGGATAATTTACTCAAAAACCTTAGTTCACCTCAGCCCTTTGTCATGATTGAATGGGAGAGAAGATTTACTTAAAAAACCTGTGGTTCACCTCAGCCCTATACATATGCAACTCATCATGAGCAGTTAATCTAAGCTCACTCTCACAGGACACAAAGAAAACATCACCCTTAACCAAATCTTCAGTCACAGCATCCAATTCTACCAGACCCTTTCCAGAGAGAACAATAAGAATCGCAGGGCCCAGGCTTGCTGGAAGAACCACTTGTGCACCCAAAGGAATAATGCATCGGTCCACTTCAAACTCGTCGAACGGTGGCGAGTATCTCATAGTGTACGGATCCAAAGGAATGCCGCTTAATATTTCAGGCAAACCCTGCATTGAGGAAAAGAAAAGGAGAACCATGTTAAATGCAACAAGACATGAGAAAGAAATAAAATCTCTTCAAACAATGACTCCACATACAAAATTCATATCAAATACTCTCTCTCTCTCATTCACACTTGACAATGTAGCTATGTATCACTTCTGGGTCGTGGAAGAGCTCCAATTGGGTATGTGAGAAACGTATAAGCACGGGTAGATGATAAAGGATTTTCGAGTTTGGCAAAACTGAATGTAGAACTCGCAAAAATAGAGTTTTCCCCAAACAATCTAAACACTTGAACCTTGAAACAATGTTCTCATCTTGGAGGGGTCATGTTACGAGCATGTCTCCCCTCTTTGCTTGTCGAAATATCCTCTCATCCAATGGTTTAAAAAAAGGATCGGTGACCCGGATTGGGCTTCCAAAAAACCGATCCAAATAGGCGAATCGACAATCCGGATCGAGAATCGGGTGAATCGGTTAGAATAAAGTTTAAAAAAAATTCGAAAAAATTATTAAAATTCATTATAAATATTGTTTTTTAGGAATTCAATAAGAAATGAGGGTACTCCATTAAGAATTTTCATGTTTTTGAATGAATATGCGAATATTGATATGTTCTTTCCCTGCATGAACCGCCATTCAGCATTTAATTTACATCACACAAAAGGATAAACATAAAATTATCATGGAATAAGTATATCAACATACATGGACTACAATAAAGCATAAAATTAGTAACATATGATCTAAAAATAAAATGATAGACGATGTTATTATTCTTCTTGGTCACGCTGGTGCCATTGATTGAATTCGTTTAACAATTCATTGATTCGATCTAAAAACGAATCATCGATATTAGCAGGCGTCTGACTATTCCCAAATCCCTGAGTGTTAGTGTTTTGTTGTGTTCCCAATCTAAAATCCCCGAAGATTGTCCATCTTTCATGCTCACCTGCACTGTCGTGCTCATCCCTACACTGTTGCTGTTGGGACTCGATATGTGAATAATATGGCTGGGATAGGGTGGCCTCAGAATCATCATCTCTCTCATTTTCTCTTTGAATAATATAGATTAAAAAAAAAAATAACAAATTTTCAAAAAAATCGACCATGGATTAAAAAAAAAAAATCACAAATTTTCAAAAAATTCTATCATGGATTACAAAAAAAAAATCGATCATGGATTAAAAAAAAAATCGATCATGAATTAAAAAAAAAAAATCACAAATTTTCAAAAAATTCTATCATGGATTACAAAAAAAAATTCAATCATGGATTAAAAAAAAAAAATCACAAATTTTCAAAAAATTCAATCATGGATTACAAAAAATTCGATCATGGATTACATAAAATTCGATCAT